GAAGATTTTAAAGGCAAATTATAGAGATACATTATATAATATACATATCTATTATTGATTGTATGTTATATCTAGAAAGCATAATTTATACATGTGATTATTACAAAATAAAATAAATTATTTGGTTATTTTTGATCATTTTATATTTGACATTATTTATTATGTTTATTATACATTAATAAAATCTTTTTACTAATACTTTCACATAGTTTCATAATTTATTTTTCTCAGAAATAAGTAACAATATCTTATATTATTACATTATTTATATTATTTGTTAAACTTGTAATTTGTTAAACTTTTTTATTTATTATTATTCTAAGGCTACATCAAAAAATAACTTATATCCATTTTTTTATATATTTCAAAAATTATAGAGACTCTTATATTTAAACTAAATAGAAAAAGTATTTTCAGATATACTAGAATGATAATTTTATGATTCTGTATTTTTATATAATGAAAAAATCTTCATACACTATCTTAGGAAATTTATTTAAAAAAAATCTGATTTTAATGAAAATTTGTAGAGAAAAATTATTTTTCGATAAAATAATTCTTTTATCATTTTGTATACAATTTCATTTGAAAATATTTTTTATAAGATAGTAAAGCATTAAAATCTAAATATTTTCTAAAATTTTGTTTTATTTTGTATTATTATGAAATTATATTTAAATAATAATTGAAAATGTTGATTTCATTCTTTCGAAATGATATTCCATATTTATATGATTTTTATAATATAATTTATTAATAATTCTCGTAAAGTATATGAAAATTTTTACATTATTCGCATATATTCTTATAGAAAGAGAACCATTCTTATAGAATATTCTTATAGAAAGAAAACAATGAAGTAATTTGTAGTAATTTATAGAGAGTAAAATAAAATTTAATATTACTAAAATGACTTAAAATAACCTCTAAAGAGAATAAAGAAAACGAAGGAAAATACGAAAGGCGAGAGCTTTTTATTTTAAGGGATGTAATTAGAGTATAGAATCTCCCATTGTGTAAAAAATTAGTAAGTGAATTTTATAGCTATATTTTAACCCACCACGAAAGGGGACCCTTCTAATTAACTGCTTAACGTCCGTGTCGTTAATACACATAGCTTATATTGTCGCTAAGAGGATTATTAAACATTTTTAAAAGGGTACTAGTAATATATTTTAGCCCTCTATCTAAAGGACTAAAAATTTTATAACGATAACAATTTATTATATTCAATATAGATATTCATATTCGAATCTATATTTTATATATATTATATTTATATTACACGCAACTATATGCAATTATATATTGTCAAAAAAATTAAATCGTTCAATGAAAATATAACATCAAACGATTAGTATTATAATAATGCAATTGAAAATAATCGATGCATTGTAACGAAGAATTTTCGCGTGGCGTCAATATTAATCTGAGTCGAAATTTCAAAAGTTCTGTCCCAGCGTGTATGTGCTGGGTCATAGCTGAACAGGAACGAAGAGATGTGCGTCCGTTATTAACCCTTCGTGCACGAGATTCGGATTAACCATGCACTTTCCAGTGAAAGTTTCTCATATTATTCTGCGTTATATCGTGGACTAGATAACAGAATGGCAGGAAGAGAGCGCGGCTTATCGAGCTCGTGGATTACAACTTTCGCATCCGATTAATCATATTTTGAACAATCCAGGTAGCACTGTTCTCAAATTCGAAATAGGAAAAAGGGATTCAGTTATGCTTCTAATTTGCTCGATATATATCTCGAAAGAAATTAAATTGTTAAGAAATAAAATATTATTTGAAATTGTTTAAATTTGATTTAAATTATAAATTATTTTGGTTATTGATATATTGATTATTGTATGGAAAGTTGACAATCATAGTGATAAGTCATATCAAGGAAATTATTTTGAGAAATTTATACTTGTAAATTAATATTTTACAAAAGAATAAATTCTTCTATTTCAATATTGGATTTGTAACTTTCAATATTTTGATTTGTAACTAGTATGTTCAAATAACTTGTATCAATTAATTTAAAATAATATGATATTATAGAATAGTTCTATTTTCTATCATTCATACTATTGTAATTTTTAGATTTATAATTAATTTTAAATATTCTTATTTTTAATAATAATAAAATAGAACAAATTGTTAAAAAAAATATTTTCTAATAAAAAATAATATTTGAAATTTTTATTTATTAGTATAATGTAGCAATAATGTTAAAGAATATAGGAGAAAAGCGAGTTAAAAGCATTTTAGATTAAAATGTTTAATCAAATTTCATATCTCTATTCAAATTTCTCAATTTTTAATTTCTTTTAACAACTTTAATACATTTTAATAATTTTAAAATTAATTTCATCTTCAAACGAAAGCATCATGAGCCTTTAATATTTAATAACGAACATTTCTCATTCTGTTTTAAAATTTCAATAATTTTCTACATTCATTTTCATACTCTATGCATTAACGCATTCGTATACTTTGTAACAAAAGTATAAGATTATGATTTTCAGTATTTCTCGAACGATTACAATATCTTTGAATACACTTTATATTTATACAAACTCTTTTTTCTTTAATAAGATAAAAGAAAATCAATTGCAGGTATACATTTTTTTTCTGCAAATTTGAATTGCTCGTGTGAAAAATTATCATGATAAAACTATAAAATAGATCCGATAAAATATATCATCGAAATTTTATTGTTTGAGAATGGAATGGCGTTTTCGTGTGCTGAATGTGAATCTGAATCCTGATAAAAATTGTCTATCACGTTAGATTTAAAAGATAAATGGATAATAAATATCAAATTTTTTTTTACATTTATTCCATATCTTTTACAAAGAAAATATTTTTTTTCAAATGTATAATTTAATACTATTCTCATGTAAAATTAGATTTGATTTATTATCCTTTCCAGAATTCCTTTCTATACTATTTTTTTAAAATTATTTCATTTTTAAAATACACAAATAAAGATTAAAAGATTAAAAAAATATCAATAATTGAAAAATACTATGCGTAAACATTTTCATCCTATTAGAAGAAGATAAAAATATAAAATATTTCTATATCATTAAAAAAAATATTTCTATATCATTAAAAAAGAATAATAGTACTTTATATGAATACATAAATATGAAAACATTTCTCTCGAAGAAGATTGAAAAATCAATCTTTTTGTCACTGATTGTGACAAATACATTTGCTTTCATATTTATTCTCAAGGAAAAAAGAAATCTGAGAAAAGAATTTCATGAAAAGATGTTCTTTCTTAAGATTGTCTTTAAGATGACCCTTAAGAAAAGTGCATCGAAGCTGCAGTAGATCATTAATTTAGAAATTCGTCTTGGATCTGATGACATCGCTTTCGGCTCTCTCAGTAGCGAACGTCGACTCGTCAACTTGTCGACTCTCGCGACTTCTGTTAAAGAGACACTAGCGAGGAACGCCAAATGGAACAGGCGCAGGATAAACAGAACATTTACAGAGTCCCAACACTACCAGAGCACGTTTGAGCATTTGTGTTTGTCTTTCTGAATCTATGTGCGCAGAAAAACGTAGAAATCTAAGCGAAATCATAACGATCGAAATAAAACTGTTATAATAGAAATTTAAAAAGTGACGATGAATCGAGATTGTTACTGTTAAAGGAAATCACGATTTTGGCCTTCGATATTTAGATGAAAATGGATCTAAAATTTTAAATTATTAGTTTCTGAGATATTAATAAAAAAACTTTCGATTCTATTCAAAGCTATATTATTAATACAAACATTATTAATAATAATGTATCTATCCAGATATTATTAAACAATAGCTTCATTATAATAGCCATAATGTCGAGTGGCCAATGTTTACGATGTTTATTTCAATCTCATGATATCCCATTTATAACCCAATAAGAATTAGATTAGTTAGTTCTTAAGAAATTAAATCTTATCAAATTTCAATAATATCAATTAATTAATTTGTGGGTAAAAGTATTCGCTGTATTTTGGACACGCTTCAAATAAAAATATGGAAACTTTAATGGACTTAATTAAATTAGAATTTAAAAATCTTAATATAAAGAGATCGCCAATATTTGTGATTTATTATGAGAATAATAAAAGATTTTAAATAGTTTAAATACGAAGATTGATTATTAATCATTTGACGATTTTTATAATGAAGACGATTTAATTATGTCTTCATAAATAGAATTCAATGTATAGAACTGAAAGTTTTTCATTAATATTTCTGTTAAAATTCGATCGATCTTTTTAGAATTTTATCCAAAATTATTAATTATGAAGAAAAATCTTAATCTTAATCACGATTTTGGCATGTAAATATACGTGCAAATAAACGTATATATTTTATAATTTTTATTTTACAGTGATACTAAATAATTGAAATTTTATTGAAATCCTGAAATTGATATATCAATGAAACAAGAATGTTTCATTCGTTACAATCTATTTCTCTCTATTTATCTAAGAAATCAAAATATTCAAAAAAGTATGTATATTATAAATCATCGGAAGATAATCCTTTTCATGCAAGAAGCAAATAGACAAAAAAAGAAACAAATATAAATTCAACGCCATTCTCATAAAGCCTCAAGTTTCATCGTTGGAAAATAGCGACAGTTTAAACTTTACTTATCCCTTCTCGATTAAGAAGTTTCGAAATAGCATGTAGAAATAAATCGCACAGGAGAGATGGGGAAAAAATTTTCCTCCATCTCCCTCCTCCGTAAACGTTCTTTCAATAGCTCACGATGTCTCGATACATTCCCAGAAAGCTTATCTCCCACGTTCCTCGACTAACAATTCCAACTTTCAACCATCGAATAAAAGGGAGGAAGTTGCCACGTAGGTTGCCCTCCCCCCCTCTCTCTCTCTCTCTCTTTCCTTCGCTTTCTCATCCGTATCTTCGTTCCAGGATACGATTCAACCGTTCGTGTTGATCTCGACTCAAAGCTTCCTTTCCGATCTTTGTCGCAGATAATCACCTACGACCCAACCAGAGGCGGTGTATCCGTGGTCACGGAGAAAGGAGACATCACCAGGAGTTTCCTGCTCGTGCAGGAGGCGAAACCATCGGATTCTGGCCGATACACTTGTAATCCAAGCAACGCTCAACCAAAATCAATCACCGTTCACGTATTGAATGGTGAGTTCGACTTAATTAAATAGTTTCCGCTTCGTTATTAAATGGTGGCGGTGGCCAGGGAAGGCTGTTTCATTAACGGATCGATTTCTCGAAGTGGAAGGAAATTAATAAACGTTCCTGTTTGCTCGAAAGGAATGGAATCTTTTTTTCTTCTTCTTCTTTCTCTTTTTCTTCTTCTATATCAAGGGAATTAATAAGAAAGAAACGTGGACGAAACGAGACTCTTGAATATTAATTTTAAATAGACGAACGTCAAGCCAGAAAAAGAAAGCTAAAGAGAGAAAGGAGAAAGATCTGCTTTCGACACACGCGTTTAATTAATGGATTCTTTTTCGATGTGTCCGAATTTCCATGTAAATACGATTCGAAGTCAATGTTTGTATATTTCGATGTGACGCATTGAAATGATTCTATATATAGATTCGTGTATATACATAGAAGATATTAGCTTTAGATAAAATTGAAATATATTCTCATGTTTCGTAATTCAAGTGATTTAAACGATATGTATGTTTTTATATTTTAGATAAGAAATAAGCAAGATGTCTTTTTTATATTATTTTATTTTTTAAAAATTATTTTAATCGTATCATTGAATTTCTCGCGATCAAGATAATACCAAATTAATTTCAAATTAAATTTTAAATTTTTTGATTAATTATATCAATTATTGATATATCGATTACATAAAAATCGATTGCATTACAATAAAAAAATTTATTTTCTATTTTGCACTATTTAATGACTACAGTAATATTTATAGAATTCAAATTATTTTATCAAAGTTTTAAAAAAATTTTGATAAAAATAAGATGTTACATTATCAATTTTAAAAAACAGAAAAAATCTTTTTTTTAATTTTAATTAGAAAAATTATGAACGACTATCAAAATCAAAAAAAAAATTGATATCCATAATTTTTACGTATTATTTTTATATTTTTACAAAAAATTGTTTAGTCTACGAATTTACTACACAATATCGAATTTTGATATATATTTTTTAAAAAGAAGCAAGAAAACATAGTAATTTAAAATAAATAATCGCCATTCTTCAATAATTATCAATGTCTTCAAAATATTTTCCAACCTATCTCAAAGTTTAAAATCTCGAGGCATGTTACGATCCCGCGCATCTCTAATAGTTATGACTTGTTACCTTTGCAAACACAACCGGTACTTTCAGAAAATTTAAGTGTTGTCCTCTGTTTCAGGAGAGTATCCCGCGGCAATGCAGCATGGCGGTCAAGCCAAGCAACCAAGGCTCTACTCCCTCCTCCTCTGCCTGTGTCTGCTACTTTACTAACCGTTTCGTGAAAACGCTGCTCTTCCTTCCCCCTCGTGTGGAAAAACGGTGAACGAGAGACTTTCATCGTTCGAAATCCGGCCGTTCGGGGATACGCCTTTGACGTAAAGTGTATACGTGCAACCGGGAATCGTATGGTGGTGCAGTGACTCATAGCGAACACATCAGACCACAATGCCGGTATAAATCAATAATAATAGCATGGACGAATAAAAAAAAAAATAGTGTATGTGTGGTTCGAGTGGTCGATACGCGGCCACGACGATCGAAGTTTCGAATGCTCGAAACGAACTAATGAAAATCACATCGTGTAACATCTCTGTGAAAATGCTACACGATTATTTAGAAACGCAATGTCGCAAACGCGTGAAAGGGACTGCAATGAGAAAGAGACGATGCGACAACACGTTTCGATATATGTAAAACAAAATGACTGATAGTAATCGCGAATGAATACGCAACACGTTCGATGCGAGAATAACAGCGAATAGAAAAACGATTGAACTCGATGCGGTTGCGGGAAATCGAGACGAAGAGAAGAACGAGAAATGGAATGGAAGAAAGAAGACGGAGAACGGAACAAGCATCGGGACAAAGGCCAAGATCAGAGTACAAAGGATCGCCTTTCCTCCGCAATTATTCACCCACGCTGACAGGATGTGTATGAAAGAAGAAAGACAGAGGGCAAAAACGAGCGAGAAAGAGAAAACTAATGAGGAAAGGATCGATAGGGTAAAAATTGTAATTTTTATCGTGTATTATCGTCGATGTGTAATATTCTCGTTGGCCAATTGGCGGTTGTTAAAGACTTAATAATGGAAAAGAACGAGCGTTCGATACGCAGCGCTCGCGAAATCAGGCCTCCATGCCGAATTCGCGGACCACACTCTTACTTTCGGAACTCTAATCCTCGTCACATCGATGTACACGATGCACTGCTTTTCGATGGAGACGATATGAGTTCCATGACATATCTCTCGAATAATAAAAGAAATTAGAAAAAAAAAAAAAAAGATAAAAGGATCTCTCTCGAGATAAGAATTCTAGTCATGTAAGAATCGATTTCTCACACACAACATTTTTTCTAACGGATACATCTATTCCGCTTTTTCATTCGTTTTGCCAACATGATCGTTTTTCCTTCATCTATTTACATCCTCTTTCTCGCTCGGTTGCTTTCAACGCCATCTGGTCACACGTAAGAGGTACTAAATTACGAAACAGGAGCATGATTCACGTGTATATACAGAAATCAGTATACGATTGACCCCTCGAACATTACGAGATCGAAGATCGCATTCCACGAATATTTCATTACTGTTATTATATTATATAATTATCATGTTATCAATATTATCATCTTATTACATTATATTATTTTATCTCTTTATTATATTATATTATAATAGAATCTCTATTATCCGAATTAATTAAGAAAGATAATCATTCAAAGGGATTTTTCGAAACACAGATTTTTCGTTAACGAATTATTCTATGTTTTGAAAAAAATAATTATAAATTATTGAAATAATATAAAAAATATATAGAATATATAATTATTATAAAATTAATTATTTTAATTTGAAACAGAATTTTTCTAATATATAAAGATATATACACTTTGTGATTAATTTTCCATTTCACTGCTTCTATTTTTTAATACTATTGCGATTTTTTCAATATTATATACTTTTATCATTTATAACATTCTCATCGTTTTTGTAATTTTTTAAATATTTCGTTTCAATAGTTATATAGGAATATATTACATGCCTAATGTCAATTTTCAAATTAAATCTTATTTTCATTGTTCATAGAAAGGCATATATTTATATTGTTGTTAATATTATTTATATTAAGATATTTTAGACAATGTATTTTATATGCGTTGAATAAAATAATATATTCATCATTCCTGTGCAATAATTTCAATCATATGTACAAATATATACGATATATATATAATTGCTCAAGGGGTTAATCGTAATGAATAAATTTCATGGGCTGAACGCAAGCTGAACGAAACTCGACTGCGGCCGAACAATTAATTTGTCACTTATCACCACTCCGATCATAGTATTTACTTTGATTACCGATACGAACAAAGTTCCACGATATAGCGAACTGTTGTTTCACACAAATCGATGAACGGTGTATATAGGATGGAATTAAACACGTGTAAATGAAATGTTTTTTGTTTTCTTATTGCAACGTGGCTGCCATGCTCCCGAAATAAATAACAAGTTATTTAATAATTATTAAGTGATAATTTATTTCATATCGATTATTCTATAATTGTGTTTTCGAAATTTTTTTCTTTTATTTTCATATATGGAATAATTTTATTGCATACTTGATTTTTTTTTATTACTTTGATATTTAGATAAAATTATACAGATATAATTTTATTTTTATATTATGGTTTTGCCATATATCTTTAAATATATATCGAAATTTTACCTCGTTAATTAAATGCACATGATGGATGAATTATTTTAACCGGTATTCATGAAAGAGATGTATAATTTTGTAAATTTATTGAATTGATTTGAATTTCCCTTTTTTTTTTTATTTTTCTTGTTTTAATACTGTCATTTAGTGGAAATTCTCTACGAAATGTTGTAATTTATGTCGTAATAATTTCACCAGAATAAATTTGAGGTATTGTGTAGAATATCAAATATAATGCGGAATATTCATGAAACTTTAAACGAGAGTACGAATTTTATTCTCCTCGTGAATATATAAAACGCAGATCGATATCGCGATTACTTTTTTCCTCTATCTTTTTCTTTTTTTGTTTTTTCATTTTTTTCATTTTTCATAATCAATCCCAACGATGGTTTCCAAATAATCTATTTTAAAATTCGATTGCAACGCGCATCTAGAAATAACGAATTACAAACTAATCGAAAATGAAAAAGCGAATTTTCCTCGTTCCTATTTTAAAAAAAGAAAAATCGTTGATCGTGTCGCAAAAGTCGCTTATCATCGCATGAAATGAAAAATAATATTTTTTAAAAATTGAAAAAGAAAAAAAAGAAAATAAAGCAATCAAGGAGATAAAAGGTGGAAAGAAAATGAAATGGAATCGACGAAAGATATAAGAGGCATTTAAAAACTACTGTGAACTATTTGTCTAATCGATTGGCAAAACGAACAGGATGCAACGCGGTCGAATTAACTTTCGTAATTTGCTCTTTTCACGAAGCTATTCATCATCGCCTGGCAAAAGTTCTACTTCGAAATAGAATTCGGTATAATAGCATCCGTCATAATTCACGCCATTCATCGGATGTAGTTTCTAATAATAAAAAATTTGTTTAAATCTTCACATAGTAAAATTTATATCAAAAAATTTTGTCGAGCAACTGATGAAATGTTTAACTAACCATGGATTTTTATTCAATTTTTAAATGGAATTCATTTTCGAAAACGACAATTTGGTTGAAATAAAAGTGAAAAATTTAGAATTTTATTTTAAAATTTTATGTAAAAATTAAATTTTTGTTAAAAATTGAAAACAAAATTTGTTTCAAATTAAATATCGATATCGAATTAAAACAATTTTTTGGGGCTTCTAAAATATGTAACGCTTTAATCGAGGTAAACGATTGATCATTTTTTCGTGTAAATAAAAATAAATACGATCATAAAAATCTGTTTTAATAATTTTTAAATCCTAATAAATTCACAATCGATGACAGAAATATTCGTATTCTATATTAAAAGGAAATTCGTTTTATCGAAAATTCTGATTTTAAAAATTGTGTGTATATAGAAAGCATAAATGGATTATATATGAAGCATCTGTTTGTGGAACAGAAAATTTTTTTGAGAAAATGAAATTAATTTCCAAAAGTTTTAATATTTTTTTTAATTTTGAAAACAATTTATATTTTTTACAATAGATAGATTGAGTATTAAAATCTTTTTATAATTTAAAATTTTGCTTTATCATAAAATTATTTATTATTTATTATTTATTATTAATTAATTATTTATTAATTAATTAAAAATAAAAACAATTTTTTAAAAATAAAAATTCAAAAAAATTAAATTTTTGTAACTACAATATATTCTACAATATACTCATAAATTCAATCAAATTCACTGCCAACAATAATAAACAATATTTGAAATAAAATATTGATATAGAATATACAATATAACTATTGTTGCAATTATATTTCTATAATATCATCATTTTTACAAAGATTGTAAGATTCCTTATCCACACATATCAATAATAATATGGAATAACATATATTAAATATTTGAGAAATTGAAGAGATTTCTTCCATTAAATCAATGATTTTAATTGATTTTTAAAGATATACATACATGTTAAAATTTGATCATCATCATCATCAATAATAAATAATGAAATATAAATATCACTTATTTACTGCAACAATAAACTAAAAATTTATAATACAATACAATTATAATATTTTGATTATTAATATGGAAAAATGTTTTTGTTTAATTTGTTTTGTTTAATTTTGTACTAGTACACTTTTACCAAATGAGAATTTTTAAAATTATTTTCATTTGCTATAAAAATTGAAAACATATTTTAACGTTTAAACATATTTTACATATTTTAATTTTTGTGTTAATATTATTATTGTTGCAAAAAATAAGCAATAATGTGTAACAACAATCTCATATATAGAATCCGAGCCGATAATAAATCTCGAATACTTTTACATTTATACACTGCGGGCTTTGTATTAATATTTAGTAAGCTCTTTCTTATTGCAATGGCAGAAACGAATGATTAACCGTAAATTTCATAAAAATGCAAAATAAATTGGGATAACGTTCCTTTAGTACGCTCGTGGAGATCGTTTGTAACATGAGCGTGGAATAATAAATTGGATGCAAATATCTCTTTAAGCGAATACATTAAATTTAATGACGGTTTAATAGGTGAAGAAGCCTCAATAAAACGATCGATTCTTTTTATCGTCAAAACTAAGGGAAACGTTTAGTCGGTTTTCTACCAAAGTATGCGTTACGAAAACTTAAATTTTCTTGATACAATCTTTTAAT